GGGCGTCCGTCATCCGCTTGTTTCTAGGGATATTTTCCAGATTATGACATTTAACTGTTCATTTATTCAATTACAGATGGATTTACTGCTCAAAAAATACATAGAAAAACAGGCATTATGACTGTGAGGATTGCTTCTCGACAGATCTGACCTGTAATTTGGTCTGGTTTGGTCTTAATTAAGATAGCATACCTCTCGACGTGGAGGAGCAGCGGCTCTACTCCGAGCTCCTCCCGTGTGACTGAGCTCCTCACCCTATCTCTAAGGGAGCGCTCGGCCACCCTGTGGAGGAAACTCATTTCGAGCGCTTGTATCCGCAATCTCGTCCTTTCGGTCATTACCCAGAGCTCATGACCATATGTGAGGGAGCCAGTTGAGGTGGCTTGGGCATCTGTTCCGGATGCCTCCTGGACACTTCCCTCGGGAGGTATTCCGGGCATGTCCCACCGGGAGGAAGTCCCGGGGAAGACCCAGGACACGCTGGAGGGACTATGTCTCTCGGCTGGCTTGGGGATGCCTCTGGGTCCCCCTGGAGGAGCTGGAGGACGTGTCTGGGGTGAGGGAAGTCTGGGAGCCCCTGCTTAGACTGCTGTCCCTGCGACCCGGCCCCGGATAAGCGGAAGAAAATGGATGGAGGTTTAATACCATACCATGAACCGTTTCAGACAAAGCAATAGCATTTATGTAGAAAAGCATTTGACTGTCCCTCCACCAGAAAAGTTACACCATGTACCTTTAAATATTTATTCATTTCAGTATGACTCAGCAAAAACCACATAGATACACAACTGGACAGGAAGTAGTGACACTAAAAGTGTAGTTGCCTATTGGCGATAGATTGCATTGGAAAAACAAAATCCCCCAAATGCCCAAACTTTCATAGGCAAAGTTACACGTCCATGACTTCCTTGCGGCAAAGTAGATGGTGAGGTGCATTGTGGAAATTACCATCTGCTATTTTTTACGGTGATTGGAAAGTGCAGTACTTGATCACCACGCGCACCCTTAGGCCCCGCGATTGATCACATGACCGCCCCGGGGATCAGCCACCTGCCCATCCAACTGCTGCTGGTTTGCTCATTAGCCTCCTCCTCTCCATATATAAAAAAGCAGATTTCCCCGCACACACTGCCAGCTGGTGAGTCCTGTAGTGGTGGGCAGAGACGAAACAGCTTGATACCTGTTGCTGGTTTGATTCCCTGCTGCGTTGGCATGCCCAGTTTTACTCATCTTTCCCAGAATTCCCCAAATAGTGTGTCAATTTATGCATTCGGAGAGTTAGAGGATAGAAATGAGCTCGTTTGAGAATGATGGTCCCATATAGAAGAGATGATAAAGCTACATTTGAGTTACATGTCCTATATTACATAAAACTGACTCTTGTGAGCTTTAATTTTCCTCATCAAAAACAGACCTGCAGTTGTGTTTTGCTTCATTCACACCTGTTTGAGTAACCCTTTAGTCTGTCTACAGTATATCTCCAAAGCACAAAATACTCTTAGCTTTCCTGGAGGTCCAATATAAATATGGCAAAAGTATCTATCTTTTGTTTATGCAATTACTTGTCCAATTCAATCCAACTTTATTTCTAATGCACTTTAAAAACAATACAGTTGACCTAAGTGCAGTACACAACAATAATTATAAAAGGCAATAAAAATAGACACAAATTGAAAAACATAGACACATAAAAACACACTGGACACTATAAAAGTCAACATTAATCACAATAAAACGCTAAAGAGGACAGGTGAGTTTTAAGAGCTGATTTAAAAAATGAAAGTGACTCAGCTTGTCTAAGGTGTGGGGGCAGTGCACAATTTTGGTCTCACAACAGCAAAATATGTAAATGTTGTTGATATTACTCTGAAAAACTGCGGTCGCTTCTCCACAGATGTGACCTGTGACTTGTGGTCTGTTGACAAATTTGCAGGGTAGCAGAATTACCAGACCTCTGGCTACAGGTGGGACCAAGTCGTTGTTTTGCAAGTCTCAAGTAAGTCTCAAGTCTTTGACCTCAAATCCGAGTCAAGTCCCAAGTCAAAGACAGGCAAGTCCAAATCGAGTCTCGAGTCACTGGGTCAAAAGTCCAAGTCAAGTCAAGTTGTCTGCTTTGAGCTTCAAGTCATTCCAAGTCTTTAAACCAAAGTATGTATAGTAATATAGCTTAGATATGTGCAATGTATATGAATTTTAAACTAAATTGTACTTAAAATGTCAGGAGTATTTATGTAAGAGTTGTAGAAATGCAAATTTTTCCTTTATAAATGTCTTGACAAGAGTGCAAATTATTACTGCCAGAACAGAAAGAGTTAAGATTTAAGAGTGCTTAATAAAAGTAAATTTGTTAGCTAGTCTAAGCATCAAGTCTTTTCAAGTCACAGGGTTCAAGTCCGAATGAAGTCACTGACCTTCAAATTCTAGTTGAGTCCCAAGCCTTCATCTATTTTATCAAGTCAAGTCTCAAGTCCTAAAAATAGTGACTCAAGTCTGACTCGAGTCCAAGTCACAACTTGCAAGTCTCCACCTCTGCCTGTGACTGACAACAACTTTGCTTTTCTCCATGCTTGTTTACTGCCATACTGCGGAACATTCCAGGAAAAGCAATAACATCTCCATGGACAAGCAGGTGGCAGATCCCCTGAAAAGTTACATAATGCTCCACTGTGTTTTTGAACTCCCTACACCTTCACTAGACTCTCCTGAAATTGCCAATGTCTACTGAACAAAAACTAAAAGATAGCTCTAAGTTGAATACTACCACAACATGACATCACAAGGTGGAACAGAACCTTTTGAGAATCCATTTTATGTAATATACCTTTAAGTGACAGTTTTGGGACATGTTGGACTTCTCCTCTTTTTTTATAATTGGTATACACAATTACAGTATCTTTTTAAACTGTGTGCTGTTTTGGTTAGCAGTGGTACAATATGGCCTCCAATCTTTTCCAGTGCTCTTTATCACATTTGCATCTCCGCTCTCTGTTTACCCATAACCCCTGACAGATTGATCATCCTCCATATATTCAGCCCCTGTTTTACTCCTCTTCATTACCCGCCATAACTTCTAGTGTCTCCGGCTCCGTCACCCCCCTTCCTCCCTTCAGTTCTCCTCTCCCTGACAGAAAAGCAGGAGCTATGGCTTGCGTGGGGGCCAGTGGGGGTTTTAAGTGCTGCTGTCAGGTGCGCCCCTGTAAACCATTGTATCATGGCAGGTGCCTGGGACTCTGGGATGTCTTGCTTGTGTGCGCTTGGTTGGGTTTTTATAGCCACTGTGATTGTGGATTTTCGCCCATAGACATGTTATATTCATCCCGTTGGGGGGTCTCGGTGGGCCCAGGTCTCAGCATATTGGACTATTATACATCAGCATTACAGCCTAGCGTTTTATAGTGCACTTCCACTTACACGTGCACAGCGGAGGTCTGACCATGTGTTTTAACATCGTGAAAAGACTATAAAAGAGTTTAATGTCTTGTGTCCCATTATGTCTATTAAAAAAATGAATTTTGTGTAGCATCTATTTGTTCCACTCACTTACATTACATTAGTGTCAGTGCCATGTTGTCACTAAACATGTGATGCACAGTTTTCCTGTTAAAAATATTGGCTAGGAAAATATTTTACTGAAGCAAATACATTGTGTTTAACAGTGTGAATTCAACCTTTTGATTCAGAAATTAGACTTAATGCAGCTTCAATTAGCATTTCAAACAAACTTTGTAAGAAAAAAATGTCACGTGTAGTTGGGTGAGGCGATAAAAAACTAAAAACTGAAAGATCACAATTTTTTTAAATTTTTTTTATTTTGATATTTGAACGATAAAATGTTACCCTAACTGAGAGTTTCACCATAGACTGCAGACATATTTGTAGTTGGGCAAGGCTACAAAAAAAAAAAAAAAAGTTCAAAATCACAATTTTTTGTTTTATTTTATTTTGTCTTATTAAAAACTAAATTAAAATATCTTTGACTATTCATTTCCTCAAAATAATGAACGCAGAATAACACAAAATTCAAAGTTCTTGCTCTAAACCACATGCTTTTCTTGAGAATTGGCTGTGGACCTCTCAGTCAGAAAGTACCACCAAGCACTGATAGTTAGAAATGACTGAACCTCCCAGTAATTGTAGCTTTTTATTTTTTCCATTAAGAAACATGTTTGATACTTTAAATATAATTTGTGTTTAATTATACACTTTTAACTTAGCTGATTAGCCTCTTGCTGCAATAACAGAAACTGTGCACCATGAGTCAACAACATAAGCTACCACTTTATTTGCACATGTTCATTAGCAGTCTCTGACCATATGCTTATAACAAACTACTGTGTAAAAGGCTTAAAGGTTTTATACCCGATTTTTCCCATGCTTTTGAGAAAAAGAAGTCTTCCCCCATAACAGGTACATTGTATTAGCAACTCTTCAGGTCAAAAAGTCAGTTGTGTTCAGTCTGTATCTAATTATAAAGTTTTTTTTTGGTTTAATCTTGAAATGTGTGTTAGCATACTAGTTATTGTTAGCTTTACTGTGACAGCAAAACTCCACTTTGGTCTCTGAAAATTGTGAAAAGTGCTTATAAACTCATTTTAGTAAATAATTGGGATGCTCGGAAAGACAAGCGAGGTATACCTTTGGACTACTACAAAATTATATGGGTCTGTTTTTCACAGCATTTGAGTGACTTTATATGATAAGATGTGGTTTCTATATGATTCAGATTATACTGAATCACGATTTTATTGTTTCCATATCCTGTTTATACTCGCTCCCACAGCCCCAGCTCAAAATATGAATGTATTAATGAGCGGGATGCAGGGACAGCTAAGTGCTTTTATTACAAATGCGGCTGGCAGACCCACCCTGGTGTTATTTGGAAGGTGATCAAGTTTGCTTCCTTGTTTACCTGCTAGAACGAAACGGCCTCATCTCATTTCATACACAAGGGGAAAAAAGTTTAGCTAAATCAATCTTGCTTGTTTTTTGTCTGTCAACAGAGTAAGGTGAATCCACTGAATGTGACTCCACCAATACAAGCCGTGGACCAAGACGAAAACATTCAGCCGCCCTCCGACAGACCTGGTATCCTCTACTCCATCCTGCTCGGTAAGAAAGGGCTCTGGATAGATGTTTTGTGCAAACTTCATGACAATTACTAACAATATAGAATCCATCTTGAGTGCGCCTGCTTGCTGTTCGGTTAATTGGACGAGCAGACCAATCACAGAGCAGCATTGAGGTTTGTGCAGAAGCCAAAGGCCAAGCACCCAAACAAACCAAAACAAACATGGCGTCAATACGGTTTGTTGCATTTGTGGACAGAGAAGCTTTTCCCTCAACTAGATGCAACACAATAGATTTTGGGCTTGTTCCGCTGTTGTGACACTTCGACTAATCAGATTCAAATAATCGTCATGACTCCTCGTTTTCCGATCGTTTTCAGTGTGAACCATTCCAGATAATGAGAATGTGCAGAACTTAATTCAGAGTGACACATATTAATGAGGCCTGAGCCAGGCTAGAACATTCCAGGCAAAACAGAACCATCTCCTTAGAGAAAACAGATGATACGGTACATCTTTAAATCATACATTATAATGACAAGGATGCAGCACTGAATCAAATTGGGAGCCTTTTCTTTTCTCTTACCTGTACTTCAGCAATACTAGATTAACTGCACTTTTTTGTATCTATGTCATGTAGTCATATCTGGAACCATAAGCATTTTGTCATATATACCATTAAGTTGTATTTCTTTAAATATGTTAGACTTCCTATGCTTTGTCAACGTTCAAAAATATTTTTTTAGTACCAGTTTTCAGCATTATTATTTTTTGACATGATTGTTAAGTTAATTCAAACTGCATGATTAACTTTGTTGCTTTGTTATGACAATGCCAGGTGGCTTGTCAGCAAATTTCGAGAGCCTTTTACATAATTATTTAACTTCATGTGACTGACTAGCAGAAGCTAAAACCTAATTGCATTGTTAAAACTGCTACAAAGTGAAAAGATGGTAACTTATTGAGAAACTTGAGCCTGGATTCAGACACAGACTCCTTGTAACTTTTTGAAAACTGATTCAATATTCACTTTATGTTGAGTTTTCATGCTGTTAAAATGAGAGGAATTGCTTTTAGCTGCTTTTGAATATTTTTTCAGAAAGTTTACAGAAGTTGGTTCTTACCCAACTTCCAAAGGAGCACATCTCAGCAGAAGCCAATCAAAGCAGTTTACTGTAAAGCCACTGCTCAATGGGGCGGCGTGATTGTCCACTACTTGATTCCCACCACTAGCCTTCAAAAAACTACAGTACTTCAATGTGTATGTGCTCCTATGTGTTAGAATACCACCTGCGGAGAGCTGAGATAGAAAAACTGGGAGCATTATCCACGCCTCTCTTTCCTCACCCTCTTGATTCAGGGAGCAATTACTGACGCAACCTCCGACATTTGTGTGATTTGACTTTTCAGTGTGTTTTTTTCCCAGGAAAACCAGACTCGTATGCACAATATTTCAGTCTGAACAGAACCACGGCGGAGCTGCTGTTACTGAAGCCCATTGACAGGGAGCTGTACCACAAATTTGATCTTGTTATAAAGGTGAGAGGCAGCGGGGGGGTCCCTGCTGTTGGCCTTCTCTTTATATTGATTCTGCTCACATGAAAACGTGATTAGCATACCCTTTTCAGCAGCCATCAAACGTTGTGTTTTCATTTCGCAATTTTCTGTGACTTTGCTTTGACTATTGAAGGTTTCTAAAGAATGTTCTTGGTGCTTTCCTGTGATGAATTGAACATTTGTTTATTTGAAGAGTGCAGGTGTAATTTCAAGTTTGATTTCTGGATATAGTCATACTGTGATTTCAAATAATACTAGAAAACTAAGATAAATTTATCACAAATAACAGTTGTAAATCAATAAGTAAGTAAACTTTATTTATATAGAGCTTTAGTGCTTTACAGAGAGCAGATACACCAGCTGTACCTTTGTGAAGATACCATTTCTTTTATTGTACTTGTTATAATTTTGTGTTAAAAAAAAAAAAAAAAAAATCTCTCCATAAAGTACATTGTAACTACTCCATTATGCTGTCTGAAAAGTATTTCTAAAACTGCGCACAGTCCCAAAACATGCTCATAAAGACTAGCGAAGTGCCATAGAGTTTGTGATAGTTAGGAACTAATCATATCTTTTTAAAACCTACTTCTGTTTATGTGATTTTAAAATTAGGTAATGCAGATGCAACTTATCTTAAAGCCATAGTATATTAGTGCCTCGGCTCAATTTCATTTCTCTCTAGCAACTCGGTCAGGACTTGGAATACACTAAATGATTTTCATGAACCCTGGAACTGTGAGTCTGGGCACCAGCCAATCAGCAAAGAGCCATACATTCTGTGTTGGCAACAATTACCGAGATCAAGGATTTAAAGCCAGAACAGAGAGAATGTTTGGTGAATTTTATCAAGGGGAAAGACGTTATTGCCCTTCTTCCTTTGGAATTTGGGAAAAGCTCAATATACCAGTTTAGCCCCATTAGCAGTGCATTATAATATATAAATAGCAGCGATTGGAAAAGTACCCAGCTACCATCGAGCAAACGAATCCTTATTCTGCAAAGTCAGACACGAAGTGAAACCGGCTGATGAATCAGGCTAATAGTATGTAACTTTTTGAAAAAAAATAAAATAAAAGCATGTGTATTTTTATGTTTATTGCACTAAAAACATGCATCTGTACTATGAGTGGGCTTGCATCTCCACAAACCTGATTCCTCCAAACCTTATTTTTCCTGCTTGCTTCTATGGAAATGTTGTATGGCATATCTATCTCCATGGAGAATGTTCCAAAGTATGGTTTTACCTCTCTATTTCCATGGAATCATGCCGTTGAACTTCCACCTCCAGAAAGTTACACACTATCACTTTAACACTGCAGTTATATTTGTCAGCTACTCTTTTGTTCATTTTTCCTGTTACACATTTCTCCTATTGCGTATTACATTCTCACTGTTGACTAGTGTACAGCGTGAATCCTTTGTAGGTATGTTAATCCCTCTGAGACATGATGCTGCACAACTCTATAAACCCTTTGGATTCTATGTGAAAGAGGACTGAGGAGAGACATTAGGGAACACAATGGAACTGAATGGGACACAGAAGCAACAAGCATGAGATGAAGATAGGAGCGTTAGACGGAAAGAAGATACGGATAAAGCAGGAGAGAAAAGCTCAGGCATAAATGAATTGGGAAAAAAAGAGAAAGAAACAGACACATAAGCAATCAGACAGCACCAGACACTTGTTTAAAAAGAGGCAGACTTCAATATATTTCACTCTCCCCAAATCAATAGATGAATTATTCTTTGAAATGACAACCAGAGACAAAAAGATTCATATTTTGTACTTTATTATTTTGATGTTATTGACGTAACAAATACATCTTGAGTTTTATCAGTATGTATGACTTTGAGTGGCATTATTGTCAAACCTGCCTTCATTGGATGATGCATAGATCATAAATATGAACCACAAAAGCTGGATTAGTGGCAGCGGTTCAGGCTCTGATTCATTACAGACAAATCAGCATCTTTTTTTTCTTCTCCCCTCAAGGCAGAGCAGGACAACGGACACCCCCTGCCAGCTTTTGCCAACCTCCAAATCGAAATCCTGGACGAAAACAACCAGGCTCCTTACTTCCTGGAAACGAGTTACCATGGTTACGTCAGTGAGGCGTCGCCGGTGGGGACGACCATAGCGAACAACGCAAGCCTGTCTGCACCGCTCGCCGTCATAGCGCTGGACAATGACGTGGAAGAGGTGAGGATGTGAATTATAAAAGATTTACAATGGTTACATACACCGTACACCAGTCAAATGTTTGGATGCACTCTCACATTCAGTGTTTTTTCTTAATTTTTACTACTTTGTACATTTTATTTTTACATTGTATATACATATTACACAATAATATGAAGCAAGAAATATGGAATTATGTAGTTTATGGAGTAATTTAAAGTTAAACAACTCAACAAAATATTTTTCAACAAAGCAAAAGGTGGCAACTTTGAGGATATGAATATGAATTATAAAAGAAAAATAGTAGAGTGCCTTTTTTCTTTGGTACAAAATTCCATATATATTCATAATTTGATGTCATCTGTATGTATATAGAATGTAGAAAGTAGTAAAAATAACAGAAATCTTCTGAGTAGTAGTGTATAACTAACTAAATTGGTAATATAAACATAAATTTATGGTACTACAGTGTAAATTGTCTATTCGTAATTTGAGCTTTATTCAAGAGTTTCAGGTTTCTGAACTTTTTTCCATTCAAAAAATATAATGTTTTTACTTTTAAGTTGTGTTATTGCTATGGGAACAGTCCTAGTTTCTCATCATTCTGAAGCCCATGGATAAATTGAGACTGACTTGCCTTAATTATCTTTTCTAGGTGCCACAGAATAAGACTCCAGTAGGTACCCCCAGAAATGATTTGTGTGTTTCCTCCTTCACTTTATATTTTCTTTTTAAAGGTCAGTCTTAGGTTCATGTTAGAAAAAGTTAGAGTTTTAACATTTACTTGTAACTCTTATAAACCTCTGTGCTTCTTCTGGTTTTCCTAATTATAAACTATATTAGCGTCTACTGAGGAGAACGCTGTTGTAGTGGTGTCATAGTTCCAGGGACATTTTCAGTTTTTTTCCAAAATTTTCAGAAAAATTGTTTTTAATGAATAAAGCAAAAACCAGTGCGTTGTTCTTGGTGACTTGGTATACATTTTAAAACCTTTCGCCCACCAACTGATTAGCTTCATTGTATTGTCTGAATTTCTGATTAACCCTTTGCAAGCTCATTACTCAAAACACCTAAATTATAAATAAACATCTGTTTCTTGAATCAAGGCCAATCCAATTACAGTTATCTAAATTTTTCTTTCAAGAACACTGCACACTTATTAACTCAGTTTATCAGTCTATCAGGAATTCAGAGTCCACCTTTTGCGCATATTCTCATCTTTTATGTAGGCTGCAGCCAGGTATTTAATAATGCATTTAATTAAACCACATTGTAAACAAAGCAACATGGCGATTCTCTTCATAAAAAATTAAGCGCCTCTCCATTCTGTTCTGCGTCTTCTGCTAGTCCTATTTTTGCCCTGTTTGCAGTGTATGCGTGTGAAGTGCTCTGTCTAATTTCCCTCACCATCTGATAGTAAAGCCATTGCACCCTTTGAATTGGCTCTCAGTGATAATGCGAGAATTTACAGTGGGGTGCCATTGTTATCGCTAATGCATTCACCATAGCTTGGTTAGTTTAAAGAGAACATATTACACTATTTTCTAATCCATTTTATAATGTGATTTCCTCATCAGAAACATATCTAGAGTTGTGTTTTGTTTCATTCTCAAATGTTTAACACAAACCCTGCGTATTTAGGCTGAGCTTTTCTCTCAAAGTGGAAAACGCTTCTGATGTCATGCAGCAATGCAGGAGTGCTCCACTGTGGTTTTAAAGGTGCATTATGTAATTTTTCTGATTGAGGGCTTGTCACGTGCTTGTTTCTATGGAGATGTCATTGCTCTGCCTGGAATGTTCCACGGTACGACATTTCACTCTTCCTAATATTCATTCAATTACAGATTTTATAGCGCAGAAATACCTAGATACCATTCTGACTGGGAGTGAGGTTGGCTCTCCACAGATCTGACCTGTAACTTGGTCTGGTTTGGTTTCCATGAAGATAGAAAGAGTTTAATACTGTGAAACATTCCATTGCGAAAAGCATATGGATCCTTTACCAGAAAAGTTACACAATACACCTTTTAAACTCCATGGACTTTAACTACACTAATGTGGATCATTTCAGACCTGGAATTGACAATCTCTACTGAATTAAAGATAGCTGTTCACTCAAACTACCACTGCATGACATCAGAAGGTGGACATTTTGAACTTTGGAGATTTAATTATAAAGGGTTACTTAGACATGTGTGAATGAAACAAAACACAACTCCAAATATGTTTTTGATGAACTAACAGCATGACTAAAAGCTCACAATAGTCAATTTTGCATAATTTGGCACCTTTAAGCTGTAGCGTGGGCATCCTCACAAAAACAGGTCTTGCTTCAGTGGTTTGCCAAAACACCCTGATAACTAAAATAGGCGTAGCAAGTTGTTATTTAAAGAACTATAATATTGTAAATAAATAAAGTAAATAAAATGATTGTGGAATATCAAAACAGTATTCTAAGCCAGCTACGATATGCCTTGCAAATGACTGCTTTTCCCCATGGTGTTGTTTTGGGTTGTTGCGTACATACACCCCCAGAGTGTAACCTAAAATACTTTTTGTGGAGACTGCATATACATTTATTTAGCACTGGCTTGCAATACTGACGCTTATGAATCAACAAGATATTTTTGTACATAGAAAACAATTGGGTAATGCCGGTGGATATTGTTAGCAATGGTTATGTAATTTCTGATAGCGAAATTTGAGCTGTAATGCAGTAGTGGAAAAAGTACTAAATTTTGTCGCTCAATAAAAGTACAGATACTGAAGTAAAAACTAAAATACTAAAGTAAAAGTAAAAATATCACATGAAAAATCTACTCCAGTAAAAGTATTAAAGTACTTGTTTTTAAAGTGTTTCATGCAAATTCTAGCAGTGATTTTGATTTGTGCTGAATTGTTGATCAGAACAATTGAATAGCTAGAGTTAGAATAAAATATATATTTTCCTGTTGGTTTTTATTTGTATATTTTTGGTTGCGCAAATGTGTTAAAGTAAACCCCCAGGCTTTTCAGCAGATCTCACACAATGATAAAAATAAATAAATAAATTTCAGTTCAGTTCAAAAATGTAGTGGAGTAGAAAGTACAGATACCTGCTCATAGATGTAGTGTAGTGAAGTAAAAGTAAAAAAGCACTTTAAATACACTTAAGTAAAGTACAGTTACAGTTAAATTAAGTACAGCACTTTATTACTTTTACTTTGTTATGTTCCACCACTACTGTAATATAAAACATATTTAACAATGTGCAGCAAGCTTCCATTTATTTATGCTATAGTATAAAAAGTATACTTGGATTCTAATACTAATGCAAATGGATGCATAGTTGAAAGTCTGTTCTCAAGTAAAAGCACTGCTACATCAAAGCAACATCACAAATAGAAGTTACTTGACTGAAATAAAAGTTTTATTTAGGCTTTCAGACTGTCTAGAAATTGAGTGCTCTCTTCAATGCATACGGTCATTGTACATAACACCTTCCATTACCACTACAAAAAACAAAAGCATCAACTTCAGTAAGCCTTCTGCTACTGTGGTAAAAGTACTTACTTAAAGACTGTATTGTGTTAAATCACTTTTTTTTTTTTTTTTTTTAGCTTTCTAGTGTGTTAAAACGACATTAAAACTGAATTATGTTATAATGTAGTTTCTTCATCAAAAACATACCTGGAGTTGTGTTTTGTTTCATTCACAAACATTTAACACACAAATCCTGCATATTAAGGCTGAGTTTTTCTTTTAGACAGAAAATACTCCACCTTGTGATGTCATGCGGTTATACAGGAAGTGCTCCACTGTGTTTTTAAACTCCATACACCTTCACTAGAATCCTTTAGATGATCTCAGCCCGGGAATTACCCATCTCTTCAGAACTAAAGGTAAAAAAGGTAGCTGTTAAATTGAACTCTACCACTACATGACATCACAAGGTGGAACAGAGCATTTTGAGCTTTGGAGAGGTAGACAACATGTATGAATGAAATAAAGCACAATTCTGGGTATGTTTTGAAGAGGCAACAGCATTATAACATGGCTTAAAGCTCACGATAATCCATTTTGTATGATATAGGACCTTTAAATTTACTCAAATATGCACTGGAGGCTTTTTTGACTACACTAGCCTCGCACATTGGCTTGTATTGTCTCATCAAACTGTCCTCCTCCCATCTGCTGTCTTAACCATGCGGACGTGGGATTGACTATGCATTAAAGGCAGTGCGGCTCCATCTGGTTGGTTCAATAATACAGACTTGGTCAGACATGGCGGATTAGTTAGTGCCACTGTTATCGAACCAGCTATTTGCAAGACCTATGTACGTTTTTCAATTTACAGGACATACAACACAGTGCGTGGAGTGTTTTTTTTATGCATGCCAAGAATGTGTTTGTGTATTTAAATCTGGCTTGCCCCGGTCCCCAGCCCTCCAAATAATGATTACTCCTAATTGCATTTATGTTGTGTCTAGGCCTGTTTATTTATGGCTGTGCAAACGCTATGACCAAGAGTGTCCTTAACCGCGAGCTGCTCTGTATTTATGAGTCTATATCCACACAGGCTACATCGACAATATTATCAAGTGTGCTGAGCCAGCCTTATCTGGAATGAGAGCCCGGTCACAAACAACACTAGCTGGAGCGTTGCCTCTTCATCAACCCAGGGCTGCACACGCACTTATACATAGCGGGGCTGTGTGAGAGTCTAGTGGTTGGAGATTTCATGTGAGGAAAAAGCTAAGATGAGATGCATTTCATTCACTATGTCTTCCGATGTCTATCAAGGTTCTGTCCATAGTGTAAATTTTCATTACTTCACGATCTATAGTATTTCTCTCGAGGTAAAGTTGACGAGGAAAGGTAGGCGTGTAGTGTTAGTACTCAAAGATTCAAGTGTATTTAAACAACTCTGCATGAGTGTACAGTGAAATATCTTATCATTTCAAGTGGAAGTGAAGGAAAATTACTCTAGATGTACTTTCAATAGACTCTGTTCAAGTTGTGGCATTGCATTAAATTAAAATCTCAAATAGAGGAAATTGGAAAGTGTAGCTCTGTCTGAAAGCCACATTTAATTTTTTAAGATTTACCCAAAAACAAAAAAATCCTCTCATTTGGAACTCAATATTTTTTTGCTGGGCATTGCCACCATAATATCACAAATTTGAAGGTTGGTCTGCCAAAAACTGTTATTCTTATGCGATTTAAAATGCAGATGCTTTTTCAGGATTTGGTGAAGAAGTTATTTCACTCCATGTTCATTTAGGTTACATGTGGATAATTTGAGAAATAAAGTAATGAATGCGTCGAGAGATTTGCTTTTTGACAGTTAAGTAGCCAATTTTTCCAAATAATTATTAGCTGTCCACCTCATGTTGAACATATGGGCTCTTTAGAATATTGTCTTGTTCCAAAATCCTGCACAATGGAGTGGAATTTACTAAAACCATTTGTGGAGGCAAATAAACATCATATTTTGGTGTCTACTATAACAAAATAGCAGTGGTCTTAAGTGTGACGGAGACACAGCAGTCACCATATGTTCTGTGTTTTTCCAACAGAAGAAGGCTGTATTTGTTCATTGTAAATTGCAGTATTGATCTAATATTGCTTGTTAATTGAAACAGCGCCACTGGCTACAGAAGTCATAGGCCTGCCTCTTTATAGTGTAGCTCGTAGCAGATTTTGATTTACACGTCATTAGTGTTGAATAATGGCTGCAAGACATTTTTAACCCAACATTGATGACTCAGAGTCTAATTAAGTAAGTAGAGAGAAGTAGGTGGGGATAGGGGGTAGATGAAAACAGACATTTGAATGAAGGACAACTTAAACTTGCATTAATCAATCGAAAAACAACTTTGAGTGAACTTGAGATGAGGAAACACCATTATAAAAAGCTCATTAAAGTTGATTTGATAAGCTATTTCCTCTTTAAATAAAAATCCATGATGTTTTCTTGTTCCGTAAAACATTAATGATGTGAATCCTTTTCTGTGCAGACCAAGGACCCTCAGCTGCACTTCTCACTGGACACTTACTCGAGCATTTTCGCCGTGACTCCGGCTGGAATCAGACGTCATCTAATCCTGGTGCAGCCCCTGGACAGAGAGACCCAGGACACCTACACATTCACAGTATTCTTGCATCTACTATATTATTACACTTTGTGCTAGCATTGTATGTACTGTGTGTGAGGAAAATTACAGGAACTACTTTTCTCAGCAAAAGTGCCTCAAATGAAAAGGTTGTGCTGAAGTAAATAGTAGCTTAAATATAGTATAGAAAAATACATAAATCATGCCACGAAAAAGGATTTTGGTGTATATATCTTTTATTCATTGTAGCCGTTGACCTGGTGCAATAAAGTTGCAGTACTTTTGTTTTGGTTTATGATTTACTGTTTTTAAAGTACATAGGTATAACTGCGTGGCAATGGCTCATTAATCAGAGCAATTGTCCATTAACCTAAAGATCAGTGGTTTGATTCCAGCTCCAAGCAATGCATTCTGTTACTGTGTTCTTTAGCAGGACACCTCACCTTAAATGCTGGGAGAGTGTGTTTGCTTGGTGGTCCAAGGAACTGATAGCTCAGATTTGGCAAGCTTACTTAGATCAGTTAATTGTGGAGTGAATGAATTATGCAATTTAAACAGTATCTTGAAAAGTGCTTTACAAATCCAAGAGATTAATATTATCTTATTTCAATATTTGACTCCGTAGCCTCATGAATACTTTTTATGAAGCTATGAAGTAATTTCCAGTGCAATATGAGATTTAGCCAAATTTGCATGCATCCAATACTGAAAAGTGAACAAATGTCCTATTTTTAAAAGACTGTACCCAAAGCATTTTTATTGTCAATTTTATTGTCAAACTGGCTAATATTAAGTCTAGTTCTGTTTATAATTTTAAACAAATTTGATTCTTGTGAGCTTTGATCCATGTTATAATGGTGTTACCTCGTCAAAAACATACCTTATTTCATTCACATATGTGTGAGGAATTCTTCATTATTATAGTCTGTTTATATCTCCAAAGCTCAAAATGCTCTTTTCCACCTTGTGATGTCATGAAACTGTACTTTGAAGTTAATAGCTCCTTTTTACATTTTAGCTACATTTTAATAGTTACTTTTTATATTTAGTTTTGTAGAGACTGGCAATTCCAGGTCTGAAATGATTGAAATGATTCTGGTAAAGGTGCATTAAGTTTAAAAACACAGTGGAGCACTTTCTGTATTAGCACATAACATCACAAGGTGGAACAAATTGTTTTCTGTTTGAGAAAAGAATGCAGCCTAAATATGCAGAGTTTGTGTGTTATACCTGTGTCAATGAAACAACAAAACTACAGATATGTCTTTCATGAGAAACATTATTACATAGACAGGAAATAAAGCAATGTGGGCCCTTTAAGATGGTAAAAATCAGGTCCAACATTTCAATTTCCCTTTCCTTAAATAAGTAGTCAATTCCATCTATTGAAAGTCTTATCGCAACCTCTCCAGTATATAGTTGTGTATTATCCCTTGTTTACTCTATACAAGGTAGGTGCTTGTTATAGTGAAATATGACACTGCTCCTTGTGTCATGTTTATGATAACTTCAGTTTCCTTTTTGCCAAGTATTTCCTCTTGTCGCATTCTCAGGGATATTGTGTATTTTCTTCAAGTGATTGTTAGCTCTCCACTCTTCACTCTGCATTGTAATAGGGCCTCTGATAGGACACAGTTCCCGCACCGCATACCGTTTTCTTGTTATGGCAAATTGCAATGTGAGCATACGCTGAAATGCTATCTCATGTGAATACCCTTGTGATTTTTTTTTTTAAGCAGATTGTGTATTGATTGAGAGGCAGAGGTTGGTGGTAATCATGATGAAAGCTTGGCAGGAGAAATTAAAATCTAGAAGTGAGAGAGGTGATAATACACGTGAGATGGTTTTCATTTAAGGGAATCCTTTAGCTTCCTGTGAGATGTGTGGCAGATTTTTTATCAGGCGAGAATCTGCTGGTGATAAGCACTTTTCTACACGGCGCAGGTTATTTCTGATTTGAACAAACGCGTTATCAAGATAGACTTTGTGGAAAGGCCGCATCAGCAGACAGCAAAGGATTTTGGTTGGAATCGATGAAAAGCTCTAGTGAAATTTATGGGAAAAAGTCAACAGGCGTTAAGAACATATTAAAAATCACATTAAAAGCTTGGATTTAACATGAGCAAGATGCTGAATGTAAATGGGACATCACATAATCTCTAACCCAATCTGTACTGTGTATTAGTGTTTGAGTAGACAAATTAGTCATGTGTTAAAGGGCCCATATTACGCTATTTTTTGATCTAATGTTGTTTCCTCATCAAAACATACCTGGAGTTTTGTTTTGCTTCATTCACATATTTAAGACACAAACCCTGCTTATTTAGGCTGAGTTCTTCTTTCAAATGAAAAACACTCCCACCATGTGATCTCATGTGGTCATACAGGAAGGGCTCCACTGTGTTTCTGAACTCCATATACTTTCACTAGAATCATTTGGATCATTTTAGATCTGGAATTTCCAGAAATGTGGGTATGTTGCAAATTTGCGACAACTAGAAACAAGTGCTTGCCAAAGGTTCCTAGGAAGATACTACATAAGCACTAACCGGAAATGGGGCTTATATCTTGATCCAAACGGTTTGTTGCATATTTGTGAACATCTGTGTTAAGGGGTTAAAGCAGAGGTCTCCAAACTGTAGCTTGGGAACTACCTGTAGCTCTCCAACCCTTTACATGTAGCTCACCAAGTTATTTAGAAATGATACCATTGTGCTGAATAACAAAAAATTGGATTACATGCCTTTTACCATCGTAAATGTATAATTTTGAAGCCCAAATTTGAGCACTGATAAATGGATAATGGTTTATGTTTTATGGGCATCTAACTGTACCCAAAGGCTTGCCCTTTTTCTTATAATCTTCTCAGTTTCTTGTGGCTGTTAAAATGAGTAGCTCTCTGGCATTTTTGTTTTGTAAAGATAGCTCACCGGAAGAAAAAGGTTGGAGACCCCTGGGTTAAAGAGACGCAGTAAATCTTTCCTGTTGACGTGCTTGTCTTCAGAGCAAGACTTTGCTCCTGAAATGTTCCACTGCGTGGCATTAAACATAGCTGTCTAGCATTTATTTCACTAGGGGTGTTATTAATGCTCAAAATACCTTGAACATTGAATAGCATGCATTCTTACTGCGTGCAGGCCATGGTCACCTCTTCACAGATCTGACCTGTGACTTAGCCTGGTGAGGGTTTTGGTACCTGCTTGTTTTCAGTCAGGTAAGTTTAATGCCATACTGTGGAGCATTCCAGGCAAAGCAGTCTCCAACATCTCCATGGACCCAAGCAAGTGGCAATCCCTCCACTAAGTTAACATAACCAAAGAAAACCAAGATAATGCTTACGATTGGACTTGTGAATCTCCAGAATTCTAGAGTGGGCATGGCACTTCCATATATTGTCTATAAAAAGCTACTATATGTAATTTATCTTTATGACTGCAAACTGCTGGTACTGATAGAAAAACAGCTTAAGGAGTCAGATTAAACGGAGCATTTTACAGTTATCTTTGCAATCAAATAGTGGTTTTTGTTTAGACATTTTGCTAACACCACAATGATGAGCTCTAGGCTGAAATGCTATACTGTCTTTAAAACATTAGTAATTATTAGAAGTAATAGAAACAGAAATAAACAGTACAAATATACCTCCAAGGATCACTATCAAAACATCTGGAGTCAGGATTTATTTCTCTGAGTTTATGACGCTTTTTGTTGCCTAAACATAAACTTCCTATTTGTTTTCCGTTTCCCTCCGCAGCTCCTGGCTTCAGACGGCGTCCAGCAGAGTGTACCCGTTACCGTGACAATAACCGTGCTGGATGCCAACGACAACACCCCAACCTTCGGCAATGTGTCGTATAATGTGAACCTGTTTACGGATATGAGGCCCGGAGAGACTGTGATCCAGGTAAATATATAGAAACACAGAAGTACTTTGCGATTGGGGCAGAATCAGAAGAGAATGCCAAAACTTTATTGCAGAATCTGGTACTTCTTGTATTTTGTTTTTAGGTTTACAACAATAAACCTTCTGCGCCTTTTTTAACCTCTTCCTACTTTTCAATAAGATTTAACTGACTTATGTCAAGTAAAAGCTAAATCTAACATTCATACTTGAGTAAACAGTAAAATTGCTTAAAGAGGCACTATGGAACTTTTTTGGTAGAGGGGGTCACTTTCTGCTTTTATCTATGGGGATGATATTGATTTCCCTCGAAAGTTCCACAGCAGAGGTGGGACCAAGTCGTTATTCTGCAAGTCTTAAGTAAGTCTCAAGTCTTTGACCTCAAATCCGAGTCAAATCCCAAGTCATCTGCTTTGAGCTTCGAAGTCATTAAACTTAGATTTTTGCAGTTTATATGAATTTTAAACTACACTATACTTTATAAAGTCATGGTATATTTATATACAAGTATTTATATATATATATATTTTTTATTTATATTATTTATATAAGAGTTGTAGAACTGGTCATTTTTCCTTTTTAAATGCCCTTTTAAGTCCAAGTAGAGTCCTAAGTCTTGGTCTATTTTATTAAGTCTCAAGTCCTAAAAATTGTGACTCAAGTCTGACTCGAGTCCAAGACTTGCAAGTCCCAACCCCTGTTCCACAGTATAGCATTAAACACATATCTCTTTGACAATTATTCAATTACAAATGTTTTTATTGGTCAGAAATTCCATAATTATTACTATGAATGGAGTCCTGTTTGCATCACCTGCTTGCCCCCATGAAATAGAAAAGTTTAATGCCATACTTATCTAGGCAAACCAATAACAAGAGGCACAGAGACAAGCAAGCGGCAGACACTCCACCAGAAAAGTTCCATGGTACAACTTTAATGTAAATACACCCACACGAGATACTGACTGGTAAATGAATGAATGCAGTGTGTATGTAATAGTGTGGCTGTGTGATATGAGTGCTTAAATATGCAAGAGATGAGAGTCCAGAACAGAAGTACAGATTGTGCTGGACGATTCTGGGAAGGGAATGGCCAACAGCAGAATATTGGGGAGGTTTGGACAGCATAGTTAAGTTCCACCAAAGTTGGCCCATGGCATGATCCGAGTGGTTTAAAATATGTTCCCAATTTTAATTAATCAGATTTTGTTTTGTCTTCCAGCTTTCAGCCATCGACTCAGATGCAGGACCCAATGGTCTGATTACATATCGGATCTTAGCTGGGGACCATGGACAGTTTATCATCAACAACAGGTACAAGAATACACCCATAATGTATTCTGAATACTTAGAAAGTCATACAGAGTTGCTTTTAAATTATAGTGGAACGAAGCAATATAGGTTTAAAAACAGCTTTATGTTTGTTTCGCCATTTGTTATGCATTTTTGTCACTAATTGGAGAAGGAAAAATTACACATGCGCACGCTATAAGAGGAATGTTTACTATTTTTTCTCACTGCTTATGAACACTTTGAAGCCTCAATTGTCAGATCAAGTACTGCAACGTATTCCTTAGATTTATTTATTTATATTTATTTTTTTAGAAAAGCAGTTACCAAATGAAAGAGTAGCTGTATCAGAATAGAGTTACCCAAAATTAGTATTCTGATATACATATTCTTGGTACATGTACTTCCCAACACTGAAGATATTGTACTTTCATATTACTTTTGTAGCAGGCTTCTTTTACTCTTATTGTGCGCTATGTTTATTGCAGTAAAAGTGCTCTTATTTGAGTAGATGTTTTGGTTACTCTTGCCACTGACTGAATCTGGAAAGTGCACTTAGGCCACTGGCACAGTTTAGCTGCCACATTTCTCTGCAAAACACCTGTGGCTATAGAACATCTATACCCATATGTACCCAACAAGTGAAGGCATGATAGATTCAATGCACTACATACCAAATCTTTATGTATTTTGTTATGTACTTTGGAATTATCATTTTTGGAGATGATTCCTCTTATTCAATGGGATAATTAGTGTAATGGTTGCAATTAATTCATCTTCATTACACACATTAGTGGTAATAACAGTGCAGATGGTGGATTAAATTGTTAAATAATTTTCAATGACAACAGTATTAATTTTCTACTATTATCATTAGTAGTGGTACACAGGCAGCCTCCAGGGGTGCATGGGCCCTCTGCAGTTTAAAATGAATCCATCTATCCATGTTTGTCCTTCTTTAGGTTAATCTTTATTTAGCACTACTGTATCCATGGTTAAGTCTCATTTTAAACCCAATTTATTCTCTTTAGACCATGTTTATCTCACATTTTGGCCTGGTTTAGATCTCAGAAAGCTTAGTGTGAAAAGTTTGAGATCCAGTATGTTAGTGTCTGTATCGTGATGCCTTGGGCCTTGTGTTTGATCTAAAGTTCCTTATTGCACTCTAGTTCAGGGGTCATCACCGTGGCGCCTGGTGTGGAGCTGTCGGTGGGCCGCAGCTACGCTCTGACAGTGGAAGCCATGGACAATGGACCAGAACCCCAAAGACGGTAAGACTTAAAACTATTGTCCTGTTCTGTCCCTCACTGCACTTTAGTTTTGATACCACAAAATATTATGACACATGATAATACTGAATCTACTTTATTCCAAATTTTCACAGTCTAATGGGAAATTGCATTAGTTTAATTTCATTACTTTTTGGTTAAGGTTAAACATAGATATTTTTTGGTCTTGGTCTGTGAAGAATATCTCTGTGCTATTATCAAGTTAGTCTATACTTCTACCTAAGTATGTCATTAAAAACGTGAGCTGCAGTAAATGAATAAGTGCATCATAAAATAATGATACTCTTTGGTGCTTAGTTAGTATCTATAATTAGACATAGATGTTACTTATTCAACCCTCTTGAGCTCAAAATCGTGTGCAAAGACACTACCAGTGCAAAGAAAATGTACACATGATAAATATTGAGCCTCAGAAAATATAATGTCTAGTAAAAATCGTGACAGGTCTATGGCACTGTACTGCCCATTAACATTAACGTGGAGCTTTTTCATTTCTAAAATCTTTTCACTGATTTAAATTGTCTGGATGAAGAATTTGCAGGGAATATGAACTAGAGTAGTCATTTGAAGTTGAAAAATGCAGGAGGTGAAGTAGAAAAAGATGAATGAAAAATAAAAAGAATGCTTCCCCTGTGTTACCTCATCTGGAGAAATAGAATTATATACTGTACTATGAAACAAGCGCCTCAAAAGAAAGGCTATTTTTCACATCTATTCACAAACTCAAATAAATGACAAATTATACATTATATTTTTACACGCCATACTGGAATAGAGCTTGTCCAGGGTCTGTTTCTTGTAATCAGTCACTTATGCTATTCTGCAAAATCGACTTTTCAGAGCTTTAGCCGTGCTATAGATGTTTCCAATCGCCATTTACTCACTTGATGCTGTATTTGGAGTGATTCATGCATTCATGCAATTTTTAATTAGTTATTTTCAAGATGCCATTTTGAAACTCCTTTTTTCACTGCCTCCAGTGTACGCCCACTGCTCTGTACTTATGTTGTTTTCCAATAAAATTTTCTTAATCTGTGATACGGGTAAGATTCGTCAGCGTGGCGTAGTCTTTTTGGTACAAATTAAGAAAAATATGCAGCTTGTTAGCATGATCTGCAGCTGTTCATAAGCTTTGTTGTGATGGCGTTTACGGCGACATCAGCTCCCTTTGGGCACAGGAGACATGTTTCTTTTATTAAGTCATTTTAGATGAATATTGCCATTTAAAATGTCCAAATTATAACATAATGAGCCACGGGTGTTATACATTATAGTAGACACAAGAACAATAGGTCTTCTTTAAGCCTATTTCTTTGCTGTTATCTAAATTTAGCATTTCCCCTAAACAGCAAAATTCACATTGTTTCATATGACTTTGTTTTCTATGGAGATTTGATTTTGCATCTAGTCTCATTCCAAATTCGCCCACAAGGAGAGCAGAGGGAGCAGTGATCAATGGAGACCAAAGGCACAAGGCATCTTTCTGTTTGGCAGCGCTCAACAAATGACTGCTTTGGTTGAACTTGAGTGGGTTTTGTATTGAGACTAAAGGGAAAATCAAATATAATAATGTATAAGGAAAAACAGCAAACATTAGGATAGAATAGTAGCTTATTTGCAAAAAATGTAATAAAAAAGTCAATGGTTGATATTAATTAACTATGAAAAAATATATTAATAAGCCAATTATAGTTTAGTCATAGCCAGCCAATCTCACAAATGTTGTGAGTCTATAAAAATGGGTTTGTTGCTTTGAAGTCTGGAGTTGGAAAAACATATTTGATTTAAAGCATATTTTTTTTATATTGTTGCTGGTGCATTAGCTGCTTGTCTCAATGGAAATGTGCTTTGTTAGTAGTAGTAGTAGTAGTAGTAGTAGTAGTAGTAGTAGTAGTAGTAGTAGTAGTAGTAGTAGTAGTAGTAGTAGTAGTAGTAGTAGTAGTAGTAAATGAACATATTTAACCCACCAGCTTCAGTTCACTTTGTAATGAAAAACTGTCACCGCTCTCTGTAACTGTGAGCCTCGTCAATTTGGTCTTTAAATTTCGTATTAATGTTTGATACTGCTGTTTGATTTCTCTATTTTGTCCATAAATCATGATATGAACATTAAAAGCCGACAAATCAAGCGCCTGCTTTCCCCGAGGTCACTCCAGCTCGCATGAGCAACAGGTTTGATTTACAAGTTTGTTTGACAGCGTTGCTAACAGCATCCTCGCCTGCATAGCTTGTTTAGCAGGGTGCTGACGGGAAGGGGGGTTATCTTCAACAGCTTTGCTCAGGATTGGCTCTTTGGTTGATATGATACTTGCTGTTGAAATTCCAAATATGGAACTTGCCTCCAAATTAGTGCCTATGACTGCTACCCTCAAGGAGCTTCATTTGACTGGAAACGAACAGAGGTCACACTCACTTAGGCTACGTTTATATAATGACGGTCCGAACAGAAGACACAAGTGGCGTCGCATCTTCACTTTTTATTCCGCGTTTAGACGAGCGTTTTTGGGAGGAAATCTGCGTGCAGATGGTGACGCAAAAGTGTGCATGGCAGGCGGCTCGGTGGTGATGTATGTGACATAAATGCATACGCGACCTGAGCAGATCTGACCAGAGTTTTACGTCTTGGGCAGTGTAGACGGAAATGCTACAGTGGAGCATATTCAACTTTTCCACTCTGGAGGGTGGTTTCAGATTTTTGTGTTTTTAAGCCCCAAAAATGCCGTCACCATCTAAACGGAAGGCACTTCCAATAAAATGTTTTGTTGTTTTTACCCGTAAGCGCTCTCATGTAAAGAGGCCCTTACTCCACTTCTTTATACAGTCTATATGTGGAACATTTTAGGGACAGCAATAACATCGCCATGGAGATGAGCAGAAGAGTTCCATGGTGATATATATACTCAAACTATCAAACTATCAAACCGGCCTCTCCAGTCCTATCTCTTCCCCCTCACTCTAACTCGACCCACCTCCCAGCACGCTCCACCATGTCACTGCCAAATCGCTACACCCCCTCCCCTCCCACACACACCAAATGCAGATCCTCGCTCTTCCAGTGATCGGCTTCCAGATTGTACCCAAATTTCCCCAGACCCCCTGTTTATATGGGCTCAAAACATAACCCAACACAAATCACTCCCCTTCTCTGCAGCCCACTGTGTGCTAAAGCTGTCGGTCAGGGCCCCAGAAACCTCCTTCTTGGCGGGCTCCAACAACATGCCAATTGCAGCAGTTTTTTTCTTCTTTTTTTTTTTTTTTTTTTTTTTCTTTCCCGTGGACTTTGATCGTAGCTGTGGAGATATCCGAATGTGTGTGTGCACTAGGAGCCCTGGAGAGGCATGTTTTCTTTCAGATTAGCAGTGCTTTTGCATGGCCTACATAGAAAATACTGCAAACAGTTTATGCTCGGGGGCTCTATCCGCACTGTTGGGGAGAATAGGAGAGAGGAACAAGGGCATCTCCACGAAAAGGCGCCGTGCCAAAGATGAATCACCTGATGAATACAAAATATGTAGTGAGGACAGGGACAATGATGTTAAAGCCCCAAGTAGCAGCTTTTTTTTTGTTTTGTTTTCTTGTAATCATGTCTTTGCTATATAGGGTTAAGGTGTGTGCCCAACCAGACTCCAACCTTCCTTCATTATCTAGGCTGGGACTGACAATTTAACTGTTTCCCACTCTTTATGTTTTATGTGATTTTTTTTTTTTTTTTTTTAGAGGGAAGTAGCAGTGTAACCATGTGCAGTTCAACCTTGATATGAATTAATTTAATAAAGTTGAAAGCAAGAGCTAAAAGTAATAAAAGTCATGGGTGCAACAGTCAAGAGAATCACACCTAAATATAAAATCAGCAAAAAATAACTATTTAAGCAGCTTTTTTGGTCTATGTTATAAAGATTTTTCCTCATCATAAACGTACCTAGAATTGTGTTTTTGTTTTATTCGCCCGTGCTTAACCTACAAGAGAATCCCATCTTCAAAATATAAATTCAGCAGATAAGAAAACTCCAGGGCTCAAACCTATAATCTTATTATTGATTGGCAATAACACTGACAATTATACCACTGTGCTGCAATTACTATTTTAAACAGTTTCGGGCTTAAAATAATGTGAAACTATGCTAAATCCCAGTCTTATTTAACTAGGTCAGGTGGTCATTTATAACACTTACAACTTATCTCCTTTTACTTCTTTTTTATTCTGTTACTTTCCTCAAGTTAGTAAAAACTTCCTTCTTAATTGATTAGCACAGCTCTTATAGCCTAGACTTAATTAGACATGGCCTATTGAAAAAGGCACAGCACCTCTTTAATGCTTGTTTGTGTGCTATCGATCTCAGGCAGCTGTGGGTTTTTATGAATGGTCACTACGTGTTTTGGCGTGAAACCATAGACAAAAGACTGGGACAAATGAGAAGAGGGTGCACTGTCATTGGCCTATAACATGGTCAGGTTTTATACGAAGGTGAATGTAGTTTGGGTATTGTCATGTACTATGTTGAGCTTGAATACTTGATACTGTGCTATTGAATTCCTGCTACAAAGTCAGCTGCATTCATTTGCATATTGACTTGTATTATATTCCAGATGAACACCAAATGCTTTCTTTCCTATTTAGCTTAAATGCGTTTTGACTTAATTTGTTGGGATAATACCTGTTTTGAATATAAATTATAGTTTTACAACAATCAAGAAGCAATTTGTGAAGAAAAAAAAATTTTGAAAAAGAATTAAAAGGTGCAAAGTTCTGTTTTAGAAAGGAAGAATTCTAAACGTTTGGCACAAATTACACACAAGAAAGAATTTTTTTTCTGATACTTAAAATGTTAATGTTAAAATGTTTTCAATAAATAAAGGTGTTTTTCTTATTTTTTTGTGTGTAAAATCATAATACAGTTGAGGACTTTTGACCTAAGTGATCTAGTGGGAAGTCATGATTTCCAACCGGGAAGTAAAAATTTAAACCTGGAAAAATTGCCAAACGTCAAATGAAATTGTAAAACTTTTTTGTAAAATTTTAAATATAAAGAACTTTTATGTGTTTTATTCAAATGAGTAGTCTAACCTGTTATAGGTGCAAACATGGTGTTCCACATCCCAAGAATAATTAAAATTTTAATTTTAATACTGTTTTGGGCTAAGATTTGTCACAGTGGATGGCTATGATCAAAATTTTAAAAAGCAAAAAAGAAATGTCATTAGTTTAGTTTTTTGGATAAGGGAGAGCTAAAACTGAACATTTTTGGTTTTGGCCTGTGAAGAATATCTATTGTGATATTATCCAGTTAATCGTCCTCTTATTATCAAAAGCTCATTTTCCTAATCCACGCCAAGGCAATAAGGCTGTAATCTAATCATGAAGAGAAAGTGTAAACCAGAGCTGCAACATCCAGCCACAAATTACCACCATTTCATTGTAAGCACACACCGCTCAACTCGGAGAAAAAGAGCTCTTTTTTGCATTGTTCCCTGTCACTGTAGAATATATTTTGTATCATTATTGCTAGCCTGGAGATTTGTCTGCGATCTCAGTTACTAGATGAAGCCATTCAAAAATAATTTATATGGCAGATGTCAGTTTACTTTTCATTAGTTCTTCAGTCAATTTGCCCAGGGCTCTAAACGTGTATTTTTTCAAACCTGGCGAGTGATAAAATAGATATCTGCAGAAGAACAAGAGCTGGCAGCATTGCAAATGAAGCACTCTGACAAACGTGGGTCATTAATGTGATGCTGTTTCTGAATTAGTGTCATCTTGATTAAAAGATCAACAAACTGGTTACCGCGGAGATCGCATCGCTTTGCCTGACAGAGTAATTAAGACTACTTACTTCTGGGATCTGTTATCTATTGTACATATGATTGCATACTCTACTTTAAAGGCCGTATATTATGCAAAATTTACTCTTGTGAGGTTTTAGCCATGTCATAATGTTGTTACCCCATCAAAAACATACCTTACCTAGTTGTGTTTTTTTTTATTCACACGTTTCAGTAACCCTTAATTTTTAGTGTCTACATTTACAAAGCTCAAAATGCTCTGTTCCACATAATGATGTCATGTAATTGTAGTTTTCAAGTTAACAGTAGCAATAACCAAAATATCGTGATATCGTATCATCGGTCTCTCAATAATATCGTGGGCCATCACAATAAATTGAATCACAAGTTTATTTGCTTAAATTCATTGTTAGGGGTGGGCGTTATCTCGATATTTTAAATATATCGAGATAGTTTTTAAACTCGATATGAATTCTGACATATCGTATATATCGATATAATGCTTATATTCAATTTTGATTTCGACTCTTCGCTTGTTTACCTTCTCTCTCGTCGCCTCCGCCTCCCTGATTTTGTTCGCTCGTGTCTCCTTCACTCCTCACTATCGCCGTGAACGCCGAAAGTTGGTGCCAGTGAAAAGCTTCAAGCACCATGAACCTTTTACCACCATTTACAGATAAAACCATCAGCAGCACATCCTCACATTCCACTGAGTCGCGTCCTTCAGCCCGAAAGAAGCTGAACGAGCTGAGCTGCAGGAGAAGTGCGCTGTTTATGCAAATGACCCATGCGCTTAAGTTTCGTTTCTGTAAAATGTAAACACATGTGCGCAGAACTGCATTAAACACATTATTATCTCAAACGGGCTGATGTTTCTCTAGAGTCGTTATGCTTTATATATTGTAAAGTTTAGTTATGTAAAGTTTATTTATGCAGAAGATTTTAATTAATAATCTACTGCAGTGTCACTTGTACAATAGTGTTTGGAAACGTTGGGTTTGATCTGCAGTGGATTGTAGGAAACCTCAGAGCTCCTTACTGCTGGATAAGAACATGGATCTGTTAAAATAAGAAACATCCTGAGCTTCCTCTGCTACAGGAGCTCATGGTTCTGGTTATGGTATGGTTTACAGAGTTAATGCAAAGATGAGCTTGTCTTGAGTTGTTTTATTTTATGAATGAAAAGAAGGAAATATGTATTATTTCTTTTATTTTACAGTTTAATTATTATTTATGTAATTAGGGTTTTTGTAATCTTAAATGTTTCTATATGAACTGCCGACCTCTTACACTTCAATAAAAAAAAAAAAAATTGGCATATTTGTTTTTGCAGTTTTCAGTTTTAGGGGGTTATTTTTTCTTGAACATATATCGAGATATATATCGTATATCGAGATATAGCAAAATATATCGAGATATATTTTTTGATCCATATCGCCCAGCCCTATTCATTGTTATGGTGCAGCAATAGCTAAAAAACAGAGGGAACTACATCGACCATGATCCTTTGTTCCATTTTGGTGCAAATTACATGAAGAAATAACCATTCTAAGCACTTTTAAATCTTAGTTCTTTGAATTACGTCTTGTCAAGGCATTTTAAGAGGAAAAAGTAGCATATTCACAGTTTTGTTAGCCTCCAGAAAATATTGCACTAAATATTGTACCGTGAGATGTACATAGTGAAAATATTGTACCTAGAGATTTGGATATCGTTACATCCCGAATTAACAGCCAACCTTTTACCTTTAGTTCAGTAAAGATTATAAAATCCAGGGCTGAACTTACACAAATTAATCAAGTTAAGGTGTTTATGGAGTTTAAAAACACTTCCTGTATTACCACATAGCATCACAAGGTGGAACAGAGTGTTTTCTGTTTGAGAGAAGAACACAGCCTAAATATGCAAGATTTGTGTGTTACACTTGTGTGATTGAAGCAGATATGGTTTTGATGAGGAAACAATATTATAACTAGGGGTGTCAAATTATCGCATTAATTGCGATTAATTAATTACAGTCATATTTAGCGCATTATGTTTTTTAATCGCGTTAATCTCATTTTTAATCTCTAACTTTACTGTTTCTGTATGCGAGTTGCTTTATTATAAAATCTGTTTTTATGTGTTGTTGAGACAACAACACACACACACAAAAAAAAAAACACATTTATAAATTTTTTTTATTTCGGTAATTCCACTCATTGCCGGAAACCCACACAAAACGCGCGCAGTAAGAGCGATGTAAACGTCATGTTAACGTTGGCGACGTCAGTCACACAATGGACGAGGTCGAAGAGCCAGTAGAACAGAGGCAACAGTGCACACAGGTAAAAACACATTTGTGTCTTGGAAATTATTCTCCCGACGTGAAATATAAAAGAAAATAACAAATATAAAACCGCCTACAACTTAAATGTCACTGGTGAAAACAACCTGCATAGGCTCATGATGTCTGCACTACTGTCCTATAGTGACCTGCCACATGAGGGGACACGCACACAAACACACAAACAAACACACAACAACACACACACAAACACACACAAACACACACAACACACAAACAAACACACACAAACACACACAAACACACACATTCATCATCATCATTAACCTGAGAACGCGCGGACCACGTTTCCTTCCGTAGTTACTGCGCGGACACCGCTGTCCTCCTGTGCGCCGCGTACGTTTTCTCGCGTACGCTGCATAAACCGCGCTTCCTCCTGTGTGCCTCTAAACCAGAACTAACACCAAGACTAAAACCGGGACTAACCCAGTCCAGGACTAAACCAGGACTAAACCAGGTCTAAACCAGGACTAAACCAGGTCTAAACCAGGACTAAACCAGGACTAAACCAGGACTAAATCAGGTCTAAACCAGGACTAAATCAGGACTAAACCAGAACTAAAACCAGAACTAAAACCAGGACTAAACCAGGACTAAACCAGAACTAACACCAGGACTAAAACCAGGACTAACCCATTCCGGGTCTAAACTAGGACTAAAGTAGGACTAAAGCAGGTCTAAACCAGGACTAAAACCAAGACTAAAACCAGTGATCTCATATATGAAGCATTTCTCTATCAATAATATTTTTAATATGGTTAAGGAAAGACTGGACTTTTTATTGTCTTTAAGTAGACAAAAGTTATTATGTTCAGATTTCCTGGTCTTTGCTACTTTACAGCAAACAGTTTCTTATTCATGGAGACTTGGGCTCAACAGCCAATTTGAAGAGAACAAACAAGAACAACATTTGCAGGATGCGGTTGCTACATTCATGTAGTTTTAAAAAGCATGACAATATCAAGTAATCCAAAGTATTCAAATTACATTACTCACTTTAAGTAATTAAATGGATTAAGTTACAAACTACATTTTGGGATATGTAATCTGTAATCTGTAGGGGAATACATTTTAAAAGTAACCTTCCCAACACTGCAGATTAGTAATAGTAATAATAATGATGATACTGTGGAATGTAAGTGACTGCATCTGTTAAAGTTTGTTAAACAATAAATGACTTTATAAAGTCACTTTTTTTTGTTCTATATCAGTCTTTTGATCTGCCACAATAATGTAATAATGAATTAAAATGAAAATACCTCAAATTGAAGGCTTTTCTCAGCAATTTTTAGGTGAGATTAAAAAGAGATTAATTAGATTAATTAATTACAGATCATAATTAATTAATCTTTCAATTTTTTTTATCGCATGACAGCACTAATTATAACATAGATCAGAAAATGGCACAATATAGGCCTTTTAAAAATATATATACTCCTGATCATGCGTGTAATATAAAATGTCACATAGACATTTTTCAACAGCTAAAACGCGTAAATGAAAAACTTTTCCTATCGATATTCATACATACTTGGCATTCCATAGCTTCCTACATCGTTTGTGATATTATACCCCTAAGAACACAACAAGTACCTCTATTTCCTTTAAGTGCCAAATCACAGCAGACGGACGTTTTAACTGCGTCTCTGGAGCAATGCCTGTCCTCAGCACTGTTGACTCCCATCGATTAGTTAAACTCGGCATGAGGCAAGCACTGACCAGCCATTCTTAACTTCAATAATGGACTGTTTCAGCCTCCCCACCGCCCCCTCCGCTCTCTGTTTTTCTAATCTATTCTTTCTTTCTCTCTCCTTAGGTCGTCCATTACTACAGTCTATATTGAAGTTTTCCCACCAAACAACCAAAGCCCGCCTCGCTTTCCAAGGCAGCAGTACAGCTTGGAGATCAGCGAGGCCATGAGGACAGGAGCCACTCTGCTTAATCTACAGGTACAATGTGAATGTGTTGTTTGTTTATTTATTTTCAGATTCTACAATGTGATAAGCGAGAGCCTAATTTCCATATTGATTACATTGTATTCTCATTAAAATACTCAAAAGGTCATTTCATAAATATTTACCCTGATCATTTCTTTTAATGATTGGAGCCAAGAACTCACTATATAGCAGCAACTATCTGCAACAGTTTTCATTTTAACCGCTCCCATCTGTATATGAAATATTATAGATCTTCTGCAACTAAGCCATAACCTGATCAGCTTCAACATTAGGACTATCTGTACTAGGAGACAGCATTTCCAAACCATTCAGTCTTTCCAACTAAGTCCCAGGTGCTGCAGTGGAGTGGCTCTAGTGCCTACTGTTTTTGTGTCCTTGGGCAAGACACTTCACTCACCTTGCCTCCAGTGTTGATGTTGATGTATGAATGAGAGCGTGTTTGTGAAAGTAAACCTGGACCAAAGTAGAGTTTGCCCACGGCTACGATCCGGCGTGCTTACAGCATGTATATCATGTATGTTCATTACCCCGCACCATCTGCTGCGAAATCAAACTCTATCTAAAAGCCTCACCTGTCTTTGGGAGATGCTGTAGCTATCCATGGGTTTTGGATGATACAAAGTGGGGACTGCTGAAGAAGCGAATACCAATAATATAACATAATAACAATTATAAAACATAATATTTTATATTTTTTATTTGAAAAAGTCCTCAAAATGTTAATAATAATAATAACAGGAAACTGGAATTCATAGGAATGCACCGATACAGCTTAAGTTCCGATACCGATTTTGATGTGATTTTTAGTGTCTGAAATATACCCAATATCAACTGATACCAGAATAGAGACAGAAAATATTATGTATTTTCTTTAAAAAAAAGACAAAACTGATCTAAATGTGTCATGTAGCTGATATTTATCCCTCAAGTAATTACAGAGCAGCGCTGTATAAATACAAAATCGAATACAATCAGTGAGTAGTCTTTTACCTCAGTTTACATGCCCAGCTGGGATATTGACTGAACTGATATTTGAGGCTAATGTCTGATCCAGCAATTATTTTCAGGATCGGCACCGATATCCGAGACCAGTATCAGATCAGTGCATCTCTACTCAAAGATTAGAATTCAATTGAAATGGAAACTTCAACTGATTCTAGACATAAGTATTGCTTTTATCAATATAGCATCAACTATATATATATATATATGTATACTATCATCTATGCTCCCTGATTATACTGTTGGGGTTTTTAGGATATGATTACAAACATGAAAAACATCTTGATAATGTGCAGATTGTGTGCCGTGTTTCGATGCATATTGTTTGGTAACTTTTTTTTAACCACTACAGACCAAGAGTGCCCCATATACATTTATCTAATAAGAATCAAAATTCCATATGCGTACCCATTTTCCTTTTCACCTGTTTCTCTAAATATCCCAGTTTAACTAACAGGCACCACAACGAAGAGCTAATAATACATAGATTATTCCTCACATTCCGGTGGTCTTGATGTTGGCGGATCGGTGGAGCATTTAGATTCTGATTTGTGCGTTTTCTGTTTTCTTTTGAAGGCTGTCGATCGTGAGCGAGATCCAATAGCTTATGAAATTACCAGCGGAGATCCCCATGGGCATTTCCAACTCCAGCACAAGTGAGTATTTATACACATTACAAGCACCATCCGCGAGCAGGGGAATGCGCATTTCTCATACTTATTGAAGACTGAAGTGAGAATGGAGTCTGAGAGCAGAAACAGACTAAATGACTATGCAAGGCTTGGCTCTGCTACAGGCCACATACAAATACTCTTCTGTAATTTGTTGTTTTGCTCATTAATTAAGTATTTACTAGTATAGCCATCAGCAAAATGTCTGAAAAAAAAATGCTGGAAAATTTGGTCAAATCATTTTTTCTTTTTTTTTTCTTTTGAATCTTCTCTCAAGAGGTAATAAATGAATCCAGTAAGAAGTAATTCCAGACAAAAATAACAGAATAGAGGAAAACTTCTAAATCTTTCTTTGTCAATAGGATCTCGTTAAATAGAAAGCTAAAAACTCTGTAATAGGCAGGATTATCCATTATTTGATGAACAATTTCTTTTTGTCTATTTGGTTGGGACAGTATGTATAGTATAATATAATGTTTTGATCAAAATCGAACTTGATTACTGGACTAAACAATAGCTAAAACATATACCAAAAGATGTTTTATAACAAAGATAGACACATTATTAAAGCAACATAAGCAAAATAAAAAATATATATATATATTTCAAATTTTCATTGATAACACTTTTTTTTGTAAATATTCTATCTAGAAGCCGTCAAAATCTATCTAAACAATCTTAATGTAATGAGGCCGTGTAGTTCTTCATTCGTCCCGGAGTGAGTGATTATTTATATTACACTGAGATGTGGAGAAAGTTTCATCTGTGGTCATCTGGACTCTGGCACTGGCTTGAAGCACTTGAGGCCAGTGCCATCAATTAAAAATGGCTTCTGGATGGGAGCCGAAATGTCTTGATCGCAAAAACAGAGTCCAGATGACCACCGATGAAACTTTCTCCACATCTCAGTGTAATATAAATAATCACTCACTAGTTGACTACTACAGTAATGGTTCATTGTAGCTCTAGTGAAGTATCCAAACTTTAGATTAGACTATAAATGTTACGCCACTAAGTCACTAAGGTTAACTTTATTTTTACTGCTGCTTACATTTTATATACATACAGAAGCCATCAAATATATGATGCAAGTTATATAGGATAAAAATAATAATAATAAAACACTATATTCAAATCCTTAAAGCTGCAACCCTTTATTTTGTTGAAAAAAATAGTAGACTTATTATTAGAAAGTAGTAAAAATAAAGAAAAACAAACATTGGATGAGAGGATGTTATTTAAACATACACTAAAAGTCAAAAGTTTGGGCACATCCTTTCATTTTTTTTTTTTTTTTAACTGCTATCTATTTTAGATGTATACAGAGAACATCGAACATATGAAGCACAAAGCAAAACATTTGGAATGAAACAGTAAAGACAAAGCAAAGGGTAGCTACTTGGAGAATTTCAATTTATTTTTTCAATAGTTGAATTATGTATGTATTTCTATAGTGTCTTCATATATTTGATGTCTTCCATATGTATATAAAATGTAGAAAGTAGTACAAATAAAAAATAAAAAAAATGAATGAGAGGGTGTGTCCAAACTTTTGCCTTGTAGTATATTTTATAGCATTTCCTCAGCATTTCCAAACCTCTGCACATTTGATTTCCTTACACCCCTAAAACAGCAAATCCCCCTCTTCTCTGCACATGTGTGCTCTGCCCCACCGCTGCTCCACATTTGGCTTGGCACGGTTCTGTTTGCCATTGTTTTTGTGCCAGATTTGTCCCGTTCCAAACACCTCACCCGTTCTGTGGGGGGGCGCCCAGGCATGCGTCAGTCTGCGCGGCGTTTGTAGAGCGGAGCTAGCATACGCGCGTCAAGCAGGAGAGGAAAACTAGCCTGCAGTGAGAACAGCGTGATCGGGCGAACACTGGCTTTGAGCTGTTGGAGAACTTTGGCACAAATATGATCTTGATTTTTGAGCTCTACAGTGGCTAATTGTGTTGTGCAATAATAAACTTGTGTATTTTTGTATTTTTGTTTAAAGGCCTCTTAAGAGCTGTATTGTCTATAAAGTGTATAAATAAAGTAATGTTCTTTAATTAAAAAGAAGAAAAAAAAGAACACTGAAAAATAAGTGTTCAATAAGCTTCCAACTCAATAGCACTAATAGTTAGCAGTAGTAAATGTGTACATTTTACTGTTGTTGTGTAAAATAGTCCCAAGTGAATTAAAGGTGCACTATGCAACTTTTCTAGTGGTGCATCACATGCTCGTCTCCATGGAGATGCTTCAGCTTCACCAGAATGTTCCACAGTTTACCTTGCATTTATCTCAAAAACATAAAACAATACCTTGAAAGCAGATATTCTTACTATGAGCAGGATCGCCTCTCCACAGATCTGACCTGTAATTTGCCCTGGTGTCACATGCTAGTTTCTATGGTGATAGATATTTTTAATCTTCCTGGGATCCAGAATACACACTTCTTCAGTACTTAATGAAGATGTAAGTCTGGTCACCCATTTTCACATGGGGCGTGATTGACAGGTGGATTAGCCAGTCAGAGACACACAAACACAAAGACACATGGGGCGGATCAATGTTGGCAAATATTGGAAAAATAAAGGGAAAAACAACTATCACAAGGGACTGTAAAACATCTACGATTTTTGCAGAATCAATGAGTGACTACTCTGTTAATCTGAGGTGAGATATGACATTGATTTTATCTGCAAATGATATGGCAGTTCCTTTACTTCACATGTGTCACTGAAAAGCACAAATCTGACTGCACGATCACGTTCGGTCAGACTTGGCTCGGTATAAATACAGAGATATCATTCTGGATTTGCCAGGCACAATTTTAACACCGTACTGTGGAATATTTTTGGGAAAGCAACAACATCTCCAGGGAGACAAGAGGCTGGCAAACCCTTAACCATAAAAAAAGTGACATAGTGCACCTTTAATGTGAGATCATGTGTGTCTCTAATACAAAGTAATACGTTAGGCTTATGTATCCTGGATATTATTAGAATTTCTGGATTGGGGGTTTTACATATAATAGCACTGAGGCTAAATTACACTCTTTTAATAATAAGCTTCTTAAATTTACTACTGGGAATACTGCTTCAATTCAAACCAAATGAGAATAGACTGTTAAAGGGGACAAAATTAAAGACGGCATAAAAACGATTAGTTTGCATAATCAAATAGAATTCTTGTCATATAACTGCACTATTGAACATTTAAAGGGCTTATATTTTCTGACCTATGATATAATGTTGTTTCCTCATCACAAACAAACCTGGAACAGAGCATTTTGAGCTTTGGAGATAAAGACAGGCTGTATATAAAGGATTACTCAAACATATGTGAATGAAATGAGTCAATTTACCATAGTATACGACCTTTAATAACAGAACAATGAAGTCAGAGTATGCTCTTTTACTTACTTACTCTACCACATTGACACTAGATTATGCATTTATGTCAGCTACAGATCCAGCTTGTGTACACTTGAGCGTAACACAATAAGTAGTATCCTAAAATATTGTTATCCTTGGGCTGTTGTGACAAGCGCATCCCAAAGTAAATCCCTATATGATCGTTAGCTTGGTACTAAATTACCCATTATGATAGATAAACTACACAAGAGGGTGCTGTGGCCTTTATACAGCGTTATCAACCTCCACATATGTTCTCTCTAGTGGTTCACTCACAGTTTCGCTCATATTTATACACACAGCCCAACAGCTTCTATTGTGCCCCTGTTACTTCTTGGTCACAAATAAAACTAAAGTACATGCATGGATCAGATTGTATGATATATCTTTTGTGTTTTCATAATAAGGAAGGGGGGAAATAGACAAATCTCTATGTACAATATTATGACGATAATTGTGCAAATGGAAATGCTACTTTTGTCTTCTTAAAATACCCTTACAGGCCTGTCATGTTGTCATTATTATTCTCCATATAAAATAGTCCAGATTTTGTATTTGTATTTGCTCAAGTACATATTCTTGAGTAACTTTTATTTTCTAATGAATTGTACTAATTTATCTTAAAGTTTAAAGTAAGTCCTGTATTACGCAAAATTGATTCTTGTGAGCCTTAAGACATGTTAGAAAGCTGTTACCTCATCAAAAACATACTGTTTCTGGAGCTGTTGTTGTTTCATTCACACATTTTTTGAGTAATCCTGCATTATTAGTCTGTCTACATCTTCAAAGCTTAAAATGCTCTGTTCCACCTTGTGATGTCATGAAGCAATAATTTTCTAGTTCACAGCTACGTTTTACCTTAAATTCAGTACAGATTAGCAATTTGCAGGGCTGAAAATGATTCCAGTGAAGGTGTGTGGAGTTTAAAAATGCAGTGGAGCACTTCCTGTATTACCACATGATATCACAAAGTGGAGTGTTTTCAGTTTGAGAGGAGAACTCATCCTAAATATGCAGGATTTATGTGTTAAATGTATATGAATAAAACAAAACACCACTCCAGGTACAGTATGTTTGTGATGAGGAAACAACATTATAACATAGATCAGAAAATAGTGTAATATGGGCTCTTTAACGTTACTCTGAAGTCCACTGTGAGCAAGTCTACAAATGACAAAATCTTTGTTGACAATATTGATATATTTGAACGCTTATGCTTCTTGTCCCACTCCTTCAAATATGATATTTTTTCCTTATAGTTGTGCTCTATACTTTGAAGATGGGTTGCCAAATTATTCAATGTTTTGTCTTCACAATCGGGCTATAACTCAGGCTGTAATACCTCCCAGGGCTAAGCTGGCTCAGGGCATCATAAATTCTTGCTTCTCAGTCCAGTAGCTTCAGATTGTAAATTACTTCTGTATGGCAGTCAAAACGTCTCAATTTCCAAAACATTGTCCAGATGGCTACCTTTTTTTATCATCCTCCCAATTAGATTAACAACTCTTACAATTACTCTTATTTGTGTAGTTTCCGCTGCTCTATTACTACTAATGTTATCATGTAGTAGCAATATTAAAGGGCCGATATTACACAAAATGGGTTCTTGTGAGTTTTAAGCCATGTTATAATACTTTTACCTCCTCAAAAACATAGCTGGAGTTGTGTTTTATGTGATTCACACATGTCTGAGGAACCCATTTTTATTAGTCTGTCTACATCTCCAAATCTCAAAAGGTATATTTATGGTGAGGACACAACTTTATAACAGAGATCAGAAAATAATGTAACATGAGCCCTTTAAAGTACAATTTTTGTCTAAACAGCTGCTTTTTTATAGCACAGTATTTTGGTTATTTGGTTTTATTTATTGTTCCATCCCTAATTCTTTCCTTCTTTGTTGTCCTCCAGAACGGGCTCTCTGGTGCTGGACAAGGCTCTGGACAGAGAGACAGTGGATTACTACACTCTGGTGGTCACAGCCTCAGATGGGTGGCCAGATGGGGTAAGCTGCTCAATGCCAATGTTAACTGCTCATCTTGGTCCACTTGTGCCCTGGTCCCGGTGGACTCACACACATCACAGTGGACAGTTGTGAGGCAGATTGCAGCCGGACAGCCAAGTGACACACAACACAGCTGTGGCAGGGTGGCAGGGAGAGAGAGACATTTAGAGAGAAATTTGTTATTGCATTTTGAGGTTTTTAGTTGTACGTTTGCATATTAGCAAATATATAGACACTATATCGCTGTTATGACAGATACTATTACTACGACTAGAACTGCTACCACTACCATTACTACTAATTAGGACGGGGCAAGATGACAAAAATGAATCAATCACAACTGTATTTTGTCTTATTTAAAGGTACAATATGTAATTTTTTGGAAGTTGGATGCCCCCACACTATTCCATAGAAATACAAAGTTAAAACAATACTTGGAGCATTGAAATGGATAAGTTTAATGCCATACTCTGAAAGATTCTAACCAAAAGAGCAATATTTACATGGGAAAAAAAGTGGAAGCAGGTCCTCCACCAGGCCAGATAAGAGTCAGGTTTGTGGAGACGTTCACTCACAGTAAGGAGGACTGTTTTTCAGCTCAGTTAACACAACCATATAGAAAAATAAAACGCTTTTAATTTAGTCTATTTTTTGGCTAAAATGTTAAAGTTGTGGCTTTTAAACTAATTCAAATTATTTCAGTATTCATTTCCAGAAGATTAAACAAAAAATAAAAAAATTTACACAAACAATTCAAATGTATTGCAAAAGTCACAGCCATACCTGTTGTACTGATACTCCTGTAAATACCTTTATTACTAATTATAACACTTGCTTTAATGGTTGCTTACAGCAAAGATGGGCCATCCTTCAAAACTCCTTCATTCTGTTACAATCAGGCTGTCCCACCAGTCAATGAAAACAATACAATAGCTGTTACTTTGAATGGTATCAATTATACTTAGATCATTTGTACTTGACTGAAGTGTTTTGAGCCCTATCTAAGAAGAACGGTGTCACCTTTTGGGATATAACACCTCAAATTTAAACGTAATTACTACCTCCATCTCTAAAGATTATTTTAATGTTAAGATTCTGCCTATATGCCATATTATGCAACTTCCCATTTATGTGATACTTCTAATTTTAATACAGTTTTATATTCTAGGTAATCCTCCCTCTCTTAGTAGGGCATAGAGAGCTATCTTAAATACATAAACTGTCATTACTGTGTCCTGGATTGCAGTATCAGTGCTACTGTGACAAGCACACGTCAGATCAAGCCATTTCCTCTGCTGCCTGTGATGATTACAGGGTGTGTATGTGCATGAGGCATATGACACTGACTTACTCTTCCAGGCAAATATTCTGCTTGGAAATGTATGTGTTCTCCGTACTTTTTAAAGGTCCTACTGTATGTTACGCAAATGGACTCTTATGAGCTTTAAGACATGTTATAATGCTGTTACCTCATCAGAAACATACACACGTTTGAGTAATCCCGCATTGTTAGTCTGCATCCCCAAAGTTCAAACTACTATGTTCCACGTTGTGATGTCCATGAAGCCGTTTTCAAGTTAATGTCTAACTTTTACCTTTTATTCAGTAGAGATTATCCAAATAATCCAAATGATTCTAACTACCGGTTATATTTTTGATGATGTAACAGCATTACAACATGACTTAAAGCTCACAAGAGTCATTTTTTACATCATATAAGACCTGTAACTATATACATTTTTAGGTTAGCAAATTCACATTTATTATGTGCAATTAAAATTTCCCATTCAGAGGAGGTATTTCTACACAATATTACACAGCAGCGTTCAGTTCCCGAATTCAATGTGGCAAGACAAGACATTTTTACAGTAAATTTTAATTAACCCACTTGTTGGTTGCTGTTGTAACTCCTTGTTGTGCCATTACTCAGTTTTTACCCTCTGCTATAACTTAAGCATGCACAGTCTTGATCTTGATCGATGTTTCTACTGCCCGATAAATAATGTCTGTGAAGTGATGACGTATTTTTGACAGTAAAGTCCCATCTGTGAATTCGTATTCATACTGATAAAAGCGTAATCGTACATTTTAATTTCGTAATTGTAAGTCTTGACATCGTAACTTTTCAATTCGTATTCTGATGGATAAAATACACACAATATATTTTATGTATGACTGAACTCATTTGAGAGTTTGCAAATATTTATTTTATGTGCAACTACAGCCAAATATGCACGGATTTCCCAAATACACACGGATTTCTATTCTATGCGCACAAATATTTCTGAAAGCTTTCTTACTCCATAAATATATCTTATTATTTTTATGTATTTATTATTTTCATATTGAGCAAATAATAAACATCTAGCCTTGAAACCATTTCAATCATAACTGGATTACTAATCGAATAAATTTACTGTAGGTATTTTATTATAGAAATGGTCTGAATAAATTGTGTATGAATTGAAACTAATAATAGGCAGATTCTACAAAACAAATATGTATACCATTACTTTTTTTATACTGACACCATAATAGTCTTGTAGCCTTTATTTGAACCCAGAGTCTCATCTTTGCCCTGGTGTTGCCATGGTCATGTGGTCAGATTCAGTTGTGTGTGTGTGTGCGTGGCCTCTCCTAACAGGTCACTGTGTCTCTGTGGATCCCTGGCCCCTCTCCTTCGCCTGATTTAAAAGTCAAATGTACTATTCTTTGGCCATGAAAGTCAAATCAGACCAGTACTGCTGTTGCTGGAGCTTCAATACTCCTCAATCTCCCTCCACTCTCCTGTCTAACTTATAGCCTTATATGTGGAGCTACTCTAAAACACTGCATTATTAGAGGTATAGGTTTTCACAATGTGGTATGCAGTACACACTACGGGGAGCTGGGTAAGGGAGTTGGGCTGAAGTGCTTGCGTTTCATGTTTGTAAGGGGCTAATTGAAACAGGAAAATCAATACTACAGACTTAATATTTAGTTCTGAAATTTAATTGTGGGCCATCTGCTATGCTTGATGCTGTGAAGTGCATGGCAATACTCACTGCGCTCAGCTGATTGGCAACGAGATCTATGTCTCCTGCCTTGGCGGTTGGCTAGAAGGAAAATAATGGTTTTGAATGCACTAAAGATGATTAAAAAAAGAAATTTATTTGTTTGGGAAAATTGCTTTTTCTCCTGGCCTGGTTTTATATATTACCATACACTAGATTCTATTCTGATCCCAAGTGAGCTATAATGGGCTGCTAGATGCTTAACGGTGCACTGTGTAACTTTTGTGGTACAGGGTTTGCCACTTGCTTGTCTCCATGGTGATGATATCGCTTTGTCTTGAATGTTCCATAGTATGCCATTAAACTTAAATCTAATATTCTATACAACTGTTTTATGTAAGCAGGGTAACATCTCCACAGATCTGACCTGTAACTTGGCATGGGCTTTACTTGCCTGTTACCATGGAAATAGATATGCTGAATGTCATGCTGTAGAGCGTTCCTGGCAAAGCAATAACATCTCCATGGAAATAAGCAACAAATGGACTCTCTATCACAAAAGTTACACATTGCACCTTAACTCTGCCAGTTTTATTCCCATCTATGAGAATTTACTGAATGTCTCTTTGCACTCTTCACCACCAGTTCAAACTTGACATATTCCAACCACATGTGCTAATTTCTTAGCCAGGCTGGTGCCACCTAGTGCCTCCGCTCAATTTAATTTCTCTCCAGTGACTACGTCAGGAATTGGAATACACTAGACAGTTTGCAAAAACGAAAAAGAGCCATACATTCTGTGTTGGCAACGATTCCTGAGATCGAGGATTTCTAAGATGTTATTGCTCTTCTTCCTATGGGATTTGGGAAGAGCTTAATATACCAGTTAGCAGTGATTGGTTAAATTTAAAAAAAAGAACCTGTCTAATATCAAGCGAACTAATTCTAATGGTCAGACAGTTTCCACAAAGTGAAACCAGCTGATGAATCAGGCTACTAATTTGTAGCACTAAAATTCAGAAAACATATCCTCTCAAAATTTCTCGTAAAATTTAGAGCAAAATACATAATGTATTTTACCTGAAGTATTAGTATTATAAGTATTAGTTTGGGACTTCACTTGTTGATTCTTTAAAAATCTTTGCTGTTTCTGTGTGCTTTAAGTAGAATTTCTTCCTTTTTTATGTCTAAGCAGCCATGTTTGTTTTTGATGTGAACGGATTGATTGAATGCTTAGTCCATCTGCCAATCATACCCTTTGAAATCAAGGAGACAGGATACTGCTCCAGATTCACTCATCTTTCGTAAAGTTTTTTCAAAGTGTGTTGTTCTGGCTGGTCAGGTAAAATAGCAACATCATAAATGGCCATATCACCCATCACCCTTACAACCCCAAAGCTAAGTGGGTCAGGCCTGCATAGTACTTAGATGGGACCATTGGGAATGCCAGGTGTCATGGAGCAGCAGTGGCTCTAGTACATACTGCCATTGTGTTCAAAGGCAAGACACTTAACCCATCTTGCCTCGTATTAATGTAATGGTCGTCAGAGGGGCCAGGGGGTGCAGTCTACCCTACGGCAGCTGGGCCTACAGTGTGGAGTGAATGAATAATACAATGTAAAACGCTTGGGGTAAAAAATCCAATATGTAAATCCAATGCATTCTGATGACAATTGTAATTAATTATTATTAACCGAGGTTCTACATCACAACATAATGAAGGCATAGGGAAGCTTAAGGCGACAACTATAGGCCCATATAATTAGGATTCTTGAATGACCTTTTAGTATTTACTCCATAAGTTTTGAGGACGCAACTGCAATAAAATATAGTTTTCCATACATACATATTCCAAAAGTTACTGAGCCTCATCTAGACAGAGTTTAATATCTCCACTGCCTTCTGAAGCTCTAATATCCTGGTCCTTGCACTTCAAAGATGTCTTCTGTCTGACCCTCTCCCTTCTCGTGTCAATTTAAGAAAAGGTGAAGTTGAAGTCTCATGTGC